TCGAGGAATGTATAAAGTGAGCAAGAGCCATTGTCTATATTGTGATTCAACAATTACTTTTGTGCTGAGGTTTTATTACTGTGATGTAATGTAGGAACAAATCTGAGTGTGTTAAAGATGCAGAACTCAGGAAAGCCTTAACCACAGGCCACCGAAAAGAAAAAAATAACTCGATACCATTATATCTTTGTCAATTTGGCCTAAAATATAGCTGTATGAAAAATCATATAAGATCAGACCTTGTTTACCAAGAAAGTAAGATCGTGTTTGTTCTATTCCCGAAATAGATATAATGTTTTCCACCATGTGATGCATGGCAAAAGATGATAGATTTTTCATCAATATATTTAAGGATATGAAGATCATGTTGAACACGCAGATCGTGCATATGATCCTGAATGTATTCGGTTTATGAGTGTCCATAGAAGAAAATTTTCTACTATAGAGCTTCTAGATCCTCAACAAAATATTGTATATCCAACGTGAACTAAGATTTATTTCACATCTGCTCAATTTATTTACAAATGTAGAGCACCATATCTAGGGAATCCAGTATAAAAGTCATCACCATCATCATCACAATCTCCCGCTCCTTGCATATTTTTCAATTTGACTTATGTCAAGTATTTGGTGTAATCCACTTGGCAGCAAGAGCCTGTTTTGAAAAGGAATCAATCAAGCATCAAACTAATGTCAAAATAAAGAAAAAAGGAACTGTAGGAGACCTAAAGAGAAACAAATATTTAAGCTTTGCATACTTTTCGTGAAGGATTCTTGCAATTGTTTGGCAACCACCAGAGAGTGAAGACTGCATGTTGAGTGCTATATTTGGGTTATGAACACTCTGTCTAATGTGTATCCACCCGTATTCACCCTTCACTTCATCCGATACCTTTGCCCTGCAATTAATAGAAACGGCTCAGTAGAGATTACCATAGCTCATTAATTCCATGGTTATATAGGATAGTGATATATAATTTACTCTGTATTTAATTTCACATACAATATCTGTTGAGAATATATACTAAGGATATATTATAGCTAAAGTTATCTGAAAACCCCAAGCATGCACTTATCCAATACATAGTATATTATGTCGACCTGAGACACATATATTTGAAGCACATTAACTAGTGCACCAATTTTAATTACAAATTGTAATCAAGTATGATAATCAACAAACAGCTATATATATCTGATCTTTAGAATAGAAGAGAACTAAAATTCTTGACCTGGCCCTTTCAAATTATCATTACAATATCACTAAAATGCTGAAAACATATATAAATTTATGTTTTTTTATATATACTTTATAAAAGTTGTAGTACACAAATAAGTTATACCCTGAAACTGTATCGTATCAGAAATATCTAGCATGCATACCTGTACATATGTGCATCAACAGCGAAAGGCGAATCATTCGAATCAACAAGGCACCCCTCGCTCACCCAACAATCACCACAAGTATCAAGCGCCCATCCTTGCAATTTCCCATCCTGTAAACAAGCATCACAAACTTTCAATAAATGTAATATATCAACATGTTTTGAACTTGAAGACGATGAGTTAGAGTTCGACCTCGATGTATTTTCTTAGAGTTTCCACTGTTTCAGCACCTTTCGCCTTTGCTTCCTCAGGTTGTGTCAAGATGTTCATTCTGAGTTCAACTGATTCTACGGGGTCTTTGAGTTCTTTGATGAGACTACCCACCATTTCTATGATGATTTTGACAACCATGTAGGCTCCTTCAGCAGATAAAGGTGGGGAAAACAAGGAAGTTAATATATTTGAACGCTAATTAGCACTTAAATACCTATAGTTTCTCCTAATTTGCACTTATATCTCCACTTCCTTTTTGCAGCACGTAAATACCCTGAAGTTTCTAAAGTTTGCATATTAATACCTTATGATACGCAAACGTGACAATTTTCCCCCGAATTTTTCTATGTGATACTCACAAGCTAGTTTATAACTTTTAGCCCTTAAGGTCTCTTGAATTTACTGTTAATCCATCATAATTAAAATTTAAAATATAACTTGAATAGTTTTAATATATGATTATTGTATGTTTACCAATAAATTCAGAAAATATTACGGTCAATATATTCGATAGTTGACCTATGTGTGTCACATAGGGGTGCATCTGGTTTGGATACGGCTTGGATATGTTACTTATCATATCCATATCCGCTTATCCATCTTGGATACAGATACGGATACGGATATACCTCGGTAAGAAAATTTCATATCCATATCTGCTAAAATCGATACGGTTACGGATATACATGCGAATATATAAGCAGATATGCATACGAATACAAAAAGGATATGAGAAAACTAGATAGTATTGAGAAAAACATAGTTCATGTGATACAAAAGAGTTAGTCAATATGTTCATTATAACTGAAAAGCCAAGATTAGACATCTTGATCATCAAAACTAACCACAAAACTATCGTAAGAGTATGACTAATATGTATTCGGATATTTTGGATACCGATCCGAACATTTTACTGCAAAATCATATTCGTAACCAAATCATATCGGTTATAGATTTGAGTAATCACATACGTATCGTAACGGATATGTTACCAATATTTCCTCGGATACACATACGGTTTATCACCGCTAGTGCCACATTAGAAAACCCACAAAGTTTTATCACATTTGCGTAGAAGATATTGAAGTGCAGCTTCTAGAAACTTTAGCGCTACGAACTCAGGAAACTAATAGGGTACTGAAAGTACCGTAGAGTGAAAAAAAAAAAAAAACTGTTATGTGGACTCACCATCATCGAGAAAGTAGTTCTCCTTCAACGCGCCATGCCCACTCGTCTCCATCATCAACCCCGTCTCGATACCATCCTCATTCAACCTTATCCCTTTATCGATCACATTCCGGTATCCAACTCTATACAAGCAATGCCTTCCACCCCTCCCCACGATGAACTCCGTCAACGCCGCGCTCGTCCTCGCATCCGTCACGACCGTGCTCCCCGGCTCCTCCCTCAACACGATGGCTGACATTAGAGCTATCAATCTATCGCCGTTGATCGGGTTACCCTCCGCCATCGACGACTCCGACTGCGGTCGACGTCTGGTGTCGAAGACGACGCCGAGGTGAGGGCGGCAGCGGAGATGACGGCGGACGCGGGAGGGACATGGCCGGTGGCGGGTCCTCCGGGTTGTCCTAGCGGATGTGGTTTGGGGAACATGCACGTCGGGTTCCGGTGAGCTGCCGCCTGTGTCGCGCGCCGACTGTCGGAGACGTCCCAGGCTGAAGAAAGCCGCCGGCGAGCCGTTGCCAGCGTTCACTATTATCTGCCAAGAGAAAAAGAATTAATATTAGCGACTGAGATCATGAGAGTTACAACTGCTCCGTCCAGTAAGCTAATTAAACAGGTTTTAGGGGAGAGGCTATATTATATATATATATATATATATTAATAGTATTATCATTAATTACTGTAATCCTTCAAGCAGGAGTTCGTAGCTGATTGATTGGATGAGCAATCCTCTCCTTGAGGATATTCCTCAGATGCGCAGCGTATGCACTCATGAAATCTACCCTCACCGGTCTGACCGGTGCGCTGCCATTGCCGCCAAAACCCATCTTCTTCGTGGCGTACTTTCGTGCGGCTCGGTCGCAGATCTCTTCCATCTCGCTTGATCGCAGACCACCTCTCCTTGTGAAGAACTTTAGACCGTTTCTTGTGTATGGCAAGTGTGATGCTGTCATCTGAAATGAGAGCCATCATGGACTAAGATTAGTAGTAGAAATAGGAGGAAAATCACGCTAGTTACTTGAGATAATATTCGACATGTCCTAGAATCGAAACCTTATATATGCGGTAAATGCCCAGAAAAACAATGATAACTACATTATTCTCTTCTGCTCTATTTCTATACTACAGATGAGACAAATGTGCAATATATAAAACTAGCATATAAATGTGAAAAAGAGGGAGCCAAAAATATCATACCATAATAGATCCATCGTACTGGAAAGGGGCCAAAACAGTGCTCATAAAACAGGCTGGGGTCGTCGCAAGGCCCATATCAAACGCTTTACATCTAGCCCGTGTCAGCCCACTAAACACCGCCGTGCTAAGTCTTGGGCCTGAAATCCGTGGATCCCGGCCCATAGACACTCTAACTTCGGCCGGCCCACTCTCGTCTTCTCTCCTCAGCTCCTCTATCAACCACTCGCCAAAACTCTCGGCGATGGCCTCGACGGCCCCCGGCGTGAAGTCCACCGGCCCGTTTCGCCTTCCAATGCCACTCCTCGCACATCCGGCCCATTTTGAAGCCTTTTTATAAAATCTGCATCGCTAACAGGCCTCTTGGTGGTGCTTATCGAATCTACCCGGCCTGCTAAGGCCCGATAAGTTCCTCGAAATTGGAAATGAACTCTGGATGTGAAAACTTTTGTGGTGGGCTTTAACTTGCATTGAAATTTTGGTGATGTAGAGGATGTCGTTGCAGTGGTTGAAGAAGCCATTGCTAAGCTTGGATGTTGAATTGGGATATATTTTGGTGTACAGTTACTTGAAACCATATCTCTCGGTTTAATAGGAAGCAATATGTGAACCTCATTGGCACTGGGGGAAAAAAATCTCTGGAGGAGTAGAGTGTTTTGTTTCATGCAGAGTTTTGTCTGATACTTGTTTTGGTTGATATTTCTTGTTTGTTCTTATGTTGGGAGTTGTAGATAGTGCTTGTGAGGCGTGTAATGGGCTAAAGTTTTTATAAGCACGCGGTTTGATTGTGTCTTGTGGAACAAGCACCAGACGTGGAGAGAATACATGAATGTTTATTGCATAGAAGTTAAAACTGCATAAATGTCAACCAACTTTACCCATCAATAACAATAGAATTATGATCACAAAGGCTCGTCATTGATCTATGTGTGATAACTGATAAGATAGAACTACCAAGGTTTCTTTCAAATAAGACACTTGCAAAAATATGGTCAATCTATATAAACTATCTTTGATTTTCAATTTATATATAAACTAGTTTTAATATATTTTTTGTTACAATCAACCACTCATACTCACTTTTAAGTTAAGTTTTTTCACTTTTACTGTAATTACTAGTTTGAGATAGGGTCAATTATGAAAATTTTAATTAAAGAGTGAACTCAAGTGGTTGATTACAACAAAAAATACGTTAAAAATGACTTGTGTATAAATTAAAAATTATATATGGTTTCTAAAAAATGATCATATTTTAAAGGTGTGGTTTCTATGGGGGAAAACCCCAACTACTAACAGTCATTAGAATGAGAGAGGAAAAAGCTCAATATTTTATCAAATTTCTCTAAACTTACTTTTTTTTCAAGAGAGAAATAGCTTGTAGAACATCATCGACCTCAAGCAAACGTTCATAATAGGTTCAAGTCTTCAATATTGTCCACAAGTTCATCAAGTTCTACTTGTTCACTATACATCACTACATCACAAGCTCATATACTCAACAAATATGAACTTATTCAGCACAAACTTCTCATCTGAAGAAACGGACATGTTTAGGTCTTAAAGCCCTTGGTGCCTGGTATACTGACCCACTCTAGCCTCAGTTCAACTTCACCTGACTCCACTTGCCTTAGCCTAAGTACAATGTCCTGAACGACTTTTCCATCAGATACATAGATTGGGCTCTCCTCGGCCAAACAGTTAGTTCTGTTGGGCATCAACTTCTTTATAATGGTGCCATTTGGAACACCTTCGACATTCATCTTCACAGCCTCCACGAATGGTTGAATGTCAAATTCTGCGTTGCCCATTGGGTCATCAGCGCTGAATCTGTCTTTATCGTAAACTTCCTAGAGCAGAAAACACGGGAAAAAATAAGAAGGTTAGAGATAGTTTGGTTTCTAGACGAGCACAGAACAAAAAAGTAAATGGCCAATCCTTCTATTGCAGTCATGAATCAATATGATGCGTGCGTGTTCGAGCGTGTGGGTGTCATAAATGGGACTCTGGTGAATCCCTCCGTGGTGTTGGAGGCTGTGGCGCTGAAATGGCACCCATCCATGCCGCTAAACATCCTTGTATCATGCTCGGTAGCCTGGATGTGTGCCACATCAGCCATACAACAACCAACATTGTCAGGGACCCACCGACTCCCATTTACTGACGTATACACATACATAAGTGCATATATACTTGCGTGCATATATTGTACATTAGTTACATACATTACGGACTGGACCTTAATTCTGAAGCACCTTCAGCGCTCAATAAGTAACTATTTGGCTACTCAATACATTCTGAGAGAGTAAGAGGTGCTGGTACAATTACTGATGTTGAGTACACAACTCTTTTTATTGTTATCCAAACTCTTCTATTTCATCACTAGTAGCTTTTCTTGGCGGTTAGTATTGAAAAATTAATTAAAATATTTCTATTTATATGATTTTGACATAATTCAGATGGGTTAAGGAAAACATTCATGAGGTTCCTTCAATACTATTATGTCCATTTTGCGCATGCTCTCCTTAGTAATAAAACTGAAACAGCCTTAGCGTTTAATCATCATCTCTTACTCTTATTCTTTATAAATAAATATACATACTCTTATTCTTTATAAATAAATATCATGAATTAGTGTATGCTAGATCGTTGGTTTCAGATTGAAGAAACTACCAGCTCTGCATTTATGATTACAAAGCTCCTGTTTCTAACCTTAGTTTAAAGTTTAAAGTTTGAGCAAACAGTCAAGTGGATTGCTCTCCCATCTTTGAATTTCAACAAACTATTTGCTCCCATATAAGTCCATCTAACTGAACAACGTATTCAGCTATCGTAATAAACAAAATTAAAAAATAGTCTGTTCATCATTTTGCATACTTCATATTAGTAATTCAACTCATAGTCACCCAGTTAGAAGAATATATAGAGCAGATGAGAAAAAGGAACAAGATGAAGAAAAAAGAAATATAACCAAAGGGAGAGAAAAGAACACTTGGAGGAGATCTCTCGAAAAGTATTTAGTGCTCATTTCGGTCAACTCTCAATTATCTTTCTTTGGTTGAGTGGCATGTACTTCCATTGTTATCGAGGCGCAAGGCGCAAGGCGGCGAGCAAAGGCCCCTTATGCGCACCATGCGCAAGGCGCACAACGATGCGCGCGCCTCACTGAATTGAGGCGCACAACTCAAATAAATATTTTCAAACATAAGACAAAAAAGCATATAATCAACATGTTTATAAATTGACACATAAAAAGACCAAGAAATATAATTTTACCTACTAAATCACGAAAGAGTCTTAATTAGCATGCATAACATAGAGAAGTTCATACGTTTTGACAAATCACAATGCAAGATAATCTCCAACATAAGCAAAAGTCTATGAAACAAAACAAGCAAGTAACAAATAAGAAATATGTATTTTCATTTAAAATATGATATATGTATTTTTAAGTAACAATTAAGTGATTAAAAAAACATGATTGTTTATAATTTTCTAGTTAGCATTCTTAAATGCTATTTGCTAGTTAGCATGAAAAGATAGAGAATGGAGGTAACAATTACATATTTACATGTTCATAATTTTCTAGTTAGCAGGCTAATTAGAGAAGGAAGTTACAATTAGCAAACAAGTATACTAAATTACTAATTATTATTTCCTTTTTATAGATTAAACATGAAAAGATGGAGAATAGATTAGCAACTAGCAAGAATGAGTCTATTATGTGATGTAAATATGTAATATGTAAATTATTTAAAAAAACAGAAGAAAGAGTCTATTACATGACATAGGTGTCAAGCGCACACGAGGCGTGCGCGAGGCACGCGCGAGCGCACAAGAGGTGCCCCGCCTCTGGTGCGGGGCGCAATTGTTCCAGCCCGCAGCGACCCGTGCCCGGGGCGCGCGCCTCGATAACAATGTGTACTTTCATGGCGCCTGTTTTTCCAATTAGGAATCATTAGAACTAATAAATAAGATTTGAATTCATCTTTGAATTTTCAATCATTTTGAAATATTCAATAATTCTTAATTAGGTTAGTATCATTGTAGGTTCAGTTTTAAAGGAAAAAAGAAAACAGAACAGAGGTCCAAGAAAAAGAGAAAACCAAAAAAGAAAAGCAAAGAGGGATTAGAAGAAAATAAAGGAGAAAGGTGAAAGTCATTTGGAAAAAAAAAAGAAAAAGAAAAGGAAAGATGGAAGGATAAGTCAATTTTCATAGAGTTTCCTCTTATGTACAAGAAGCAAACAACATAATGTTGATAAGAGGTAACTTTTAAATAGTATGGCAAAGAACATTAAACATAAATAGTATGACAGCATCAGCTGCTTTTTTCGCATAGAAAAGGTTTAGAAAAGGTTTCTATGCGTTTAGAACCCAATCCCTCACGTAATCCCCCAAAATTGTGTAAGCCACTGGACTAGATCTCTAACTCGTAATATTCCTTGAGATAATTCTTTATTTCTAAAACGAAAATCCCAAGTACAGAACCCTTAGGAAAATGAGTTAATGTAGTTTCCTCTACCACATACAGCATCCATTATGTGAAAAAGAAAAATAATGACTTAAAACAGGTCAGTAGATACTCACAAGTTTGACTGGTATAAAAGGATCTTCCACGGAAAGAGTTAAGTCTTCATTCCACTCTGGATTAACATTTCTTTTTATTACTCGACTCTTCAGTTTCTGCATAGACGATTGGAATTAGTATGGAAGAGCATAGAACCAAGTGTACCTGAATATATTTCTTAAGAACAGATAAAGCAGATTTAGCTGAATACATTTCTTTAGAACAGACTAGTCAATATAGCTGAATATGTTTCTCTAAACAGACTAATTGACAAAAATGATTTCTAGAATTAAACATAACCTTCAAAATATTTATCATGCACAACTAACAACTGTAGCCTGAGATATACATTAAAACTCAACTAGTTCTCATCTTTTACATCTGATTTAGTCACTGTATCAGGGACTCGGGCTTCCAAATTCAGAGAATAACCTTGTAGAAGATTGAAGTTGAAAATGAGATTAATGTATAGCACTGGTCTAGAAGTACAATCCTTAGCCTACATAGGCAGTGAAGAATAGAGTGAAGATTGAAGTTGAAAACGAGATTAATGTATAGCACGGGTCTAGAAGTACAATCCTTAGCCTACACAGGCAGTGAAGAATAGAGTACAGACCTTGCGCGAATTAAATTGGCAGATTAAGGATTCAAGAAAAAATGAACACACATCGAAGCTGATTCAAAGTCTGAACAAAACACGAGTTATCAAGGTACAGATTCAAAAAGACAAAAGGACATTGATAAGCTTTTGGTAGTGTTTAAATGACATAACACAACATAACTAAATCTGTCCTATTGTATCTATAAAGAAAATTGTGCCCCATCACCTTAGCTCCTTTTAGTTTTAAACAAGAAAAAAGGTACTGACCTGAAATTTTTGAATCACTCATCAAACTGACAATGACACTTAACTCATAACCATCTGAGTTCTGTCTCACTGTCTACACCGCAAGTTAATCCCTTGCTGAAGTTGAATATCAGAGCAAATTGCTTTTTTAGTCTACATGAGTTATTGTAGCACAAGTAGAGATGACAAAACTCTAGTGAAATTAATGAATCCTCAGGGTTGTCATGCCCCGGGCTACGAGCCTGTTGGAGCGATGTAAGCCTGTGAACCCACTACGTGTAACATGTGGTTTGACTCAATCCATTGCTAAAATTGGTTAGTCAATATTGCACTTAGCTCTCAAGACCCATCATTTAAACCCTCTTAAACTCTATCAATTTTTCGATGTGGGACTATTAGTGGGGCATCACAAGGGGTTTAGATCTACTTGGGTTGCCCAATATGAAGTTCGATCACGATGAACTTAAACCAGCCCTATCTAGAGATGCACCAAGATATCAACTAGGTTTCAAGAGTGTAAAGGCTACATAATCTAACTCTATGGCCCAACATAAATCAGATATTAGGGGGTTAAGCCAATGAGAATCATTCTCATTGGACCAATACATAAAACAACAATCCCAGTTATGGATTGTTATATACCAATGAACAATAAACCAATACCAACAAAGCCATCGTTCCCTTTTTTTTTTGACATGTTGGTTTTATTTTCTCGTTTGGTTACAAAGTGGTACAATAACTTCCCATCATCAAGAGAGTTGGTTATAACTTAACCAATCACTTTGCCCACTAATTCGGTTATTGCTCTTTGATGGAGAGAGTGGAAAAAAGAGTATATATCTCGGTTGGTCCCTAATACTGCTCTTCAATTTTTTTTCGAAAGGGAAAATACATCATCTATTAGTGAAGGGATAAGGTTTAGAAGATCTTCTCGAAATCAACATCCATTATCCATTGTGTGAGACAACAATGGCTGGAGGTTAGTTTAATTAATTTTTTCTTCCGTTTGATATAGATTATATTTTTCAGTTTCTAAACATGTTTAGATTAAGTATTTGAATTTCTATCATGTTTAGATAACTTTTAGTAATTTAAATTTATTATCATTTGGTATCAGAGCATTGATTGTAGAACTTATGATTTTCCATCATGATATTTATTTCTCGTTTTTTCTTAATTAATAGTTCATTGTGAAAATCATTTGTTCTAAGATCTTGGTATAATGATAATCAAATTAATAATGAAGTTTAGTTTGATTTGCTTAAAAAATTAGGAGTTAACATGTTCGAAATTGTAAAATTCGGATCTAACTGCTTATTCAATATGTATACATATTTTGATTGTACTAAATACTTTTGGGTCAATAGCCTAGTGGTAAGGCTTGAGGATTTGGCCTAGAGGTTTGGTGTTCAAACCCCTAGGGCTACACCATATATTATAAGTCCTTGGGGCTCTTGGGGTCTCTTTGAATTCTAATAATATTTTTGTTTGCTTTCATTTTTTTATGTTGCATACATTACATATTTGATAATTTCTGCTTGATGTTTATATTTGTGCATGTTAGATCTATTGCGTTTTTATCAAGTGATGTTTATAGTTAACCCATATAGTTTAGTTAATTTGGGAGTAGCCACAGCATCCTTAATTAATTAAAACTGTATAATAAGGTTGTTATATCACTTGTTAAGGATCTTATTTAGAAAGTAAACATTAATTGTGATTAATCAGATGTGATATAATAAATTTTATCCCACAGGAATTTTTATTGTATCTGTATGATTAATTAGGATAAAATGTCAAATTATATTTTCTAATTTACCCACAGGGATTAGGAAATGAAGCATAATTTGATAGTTTTATCATGAAGTTAAGATAAATCTAATTGAATTGAGACTTTAGCCCACAGGCAAGTTTTATGTCACTAGATTTATATATTTGCATGATTTTACATTGGTAGAACATGTCATATTTTGTTAGCTTCAAATTTAGTAACATGAGCATGATTATTTAATTTACTGCAGCAATTCCACCTGCTAATTACTCTGATATGAAATGTGATGTTCCCGAGCTCAAAGGGGACAACTACAAAGTGTGGAAGGAGAGAGTTCTCCTTCATTTGGGATGGATGGACATAGACTATGCCATAAGGAAGATTGAACCCCCTACAGTTACTGAAATCAGCACTTCAGATGAAATTCAGCTTTATGATAAATGGGAACGATCCAATCGTCTCTGTGTGATGTTCATAAAGACTAAAATTTTTGCTGGTATAAGGGGTTCAGTCGAGCAGGTCGACAAGGTTCAAGATTTACTAAAGGCTATCGATGAGCAGTTCGCCACTTCAGACAAGGCAATGGCGAGCACCCTAATCATATAGTTTTCATCCTTGAGGCTCACTAGCGTGCGTGATCATATCATGTGCATGAGGGATATTACGGCTCAGTTGTAAGTATTGGGGGTTGAGATGTCTGAAGCCTTCCTGGTTCACTACATCCTTTGCACCTTATCTCAGCAATATGGCCCATTTAAGATATCCTACAACACACATAAGGACAAATGATCGATCAATGAATTATTGATCATGTGTGTTCAGGAAGAGGGCAGGCTGCTTATGGAGGAAAAGGAAAAGGAAATTGTGAACTTTACTATCCCTGGGAAGTACAAGAAGAAGGATCAAGCCAAGGACAAGGGGAAAGGGAAAATCCCTCCTCAAAAGGACATTAAGAAAGAGACTGTGTGCTTCTTTTGCAAAAAGAAGGGGCACGTTAAGAAACAATGCTCCAAGTTCATGAAGTGGCTTGATAAGAAAGGTACTCAACTTTCTTTTGTTTGTTATGAATCCAATATGATTGATGTTAATCATAACACATGGTGGATTGATTCTGGTTCTACAATCCATGTCACCAATTCATTGCAGGATTTACGAGACCTGCGGAAGCCGATGGAAAGTGAGCACAGCGTCTATTCAGGAAATAAGATGCCCTCACATGTGGAGGCCATTGGCACGTGCAGACTGGTTTTAAGTAGTGGTTTTATTTTAAGTTTAGAAAAGACGTTTTATATTCCTAGTTTTTCTAGGAATTTAATTTCAGTTTCCAGACTTGTATCAGATGGTTATTCCTTTAACTTTTCAGCTTTCGGATTTAATTTGTCTTATAAATCTGATGTTATTGGATGTGGTACTTTGTCTGATGGTCTTTTTCTCCTTAATTTGCAAAATGATGAAAACCACACTTCTATGCACGTTCATGAAATTATTGGTACTAAACGATGTGTTGTGAATGAAGAGTCTTCTATACTGTGGCATCGGAGATTGGGACATATCTCCATTGATAGAATTAAAAGGTTAGTGAATGATGGGGTACTTGGTACTTTGGATTTTACTGACTTTGAGACTTGTATAAGCTGCATTAAGGGTAAGCAGACTAACAAGTCCAAGAAAGGTGCCAAAAGAAGTTCTGAATTATTGGAAATCATACACACAGACATTTGTTGTCCAGACATGGATGCATACCGTGATAAGTACTTCATCTCTTTCATAGATGATTACTCGCGATACATGTATCTCTACTTGCTTAACAGTAAGAATGAAGCACTAGATGCTTTTAAGGTGTTTAAAGCAGAAGTAGAGAAACAATGTGGCAAACAAATTAAGATCGTGAGATCCGATAGAGGTGGAGAATACTATGGTAGATACACTGAGAGTGGCCATGCAAATGGTCCATTTGCGAGGTTTCTTCGTGAAAATAGGATTGTTGCCCAACATACTTTGCCTGGCTCTCCGGATCAAAATGGAGTAGCTGAAAGAAGAAACCGAACATTATTGGACATGGTGCGTAGCATGCTTGCTAGCTCCAAACTTCCTAAATCCTTGTGGACTGAAGCTCTCAAGACGGCTGTGTACATATTAAACCGAGTTCCGACCAAGGATGTCCCAAAGACTCCTTTTGAGTTATTCAAAGGTTGGAAACCAAGTTTGCGACATGTACGCGTTTGGGGATGTCCGTCCGAAGTAAGAGTCTACAATCCACAAGAAAAGAAGTTAGACCCAAGGACCATAAGTGGTATTTCGTTGGATATGCCGAAAGGTCTAAGGGATACAGATTTTATTGTCCATCTCATAGCACTAGGTTTGTGGAATCAAGAAATGCTAAATTTCTTGAGAATGACTTGATTAGTGGGAGCGATCAATCTCAGGGCGTTGGTCTTGAGAAAGATCATTTAGATGCTCATTGTGCCACTTCAAGCAACTGACTGATTGTTGTTGTTAACAACGTGCCTATAGTACAAACACGTGTTGAAGAACCAGTTCACAAAATACCACAAGCTGTTGATCCTGATTTAGTACATGTTGAAGTTCAACAAATACCTGAAGCTGTTGAACAACTAGCTGAACAACATGATCCTGATCCTCAGGAAAATGTTGATGCAGCATTAAGAAGATCTACTAGAATAAGAAAATCGGCGATTCCTAGTGATTATGTTGTGTATCTACAAGAGTCTGACTACAATGTTGGAGCCGAAAATGATCCTGAGACGTTTTCACAAGCCATGAGTTCTGAGATTTCAAACTTATGGTACAATGCCATGAAAGATGAGATGGATTCTATAGCGTCAAACCGAGTATGGGATCTCGTCAAGTTGCCTGATGGTATAAAAACCATTGGATGTAAATGGGTTTTCAAAACAAAGAAAGACTCACAAGGCAACATTGAGAGATATAAGGCCAGACTCGTTGCCAAATGATTCACTCAAAGAGAGGGAATCGACTACACGGAGACATTTTCTCCTATATCTAAGAAAGATTCTCTTCGGGTCATTATGGCATTGGTTGCCCATTTTGATTTGGATTTGCATCAAATGGATGTGAAAACGGCCTTTCTTAAGCATTGGTTGCCCATTTTGATTTGGATTTGCATCAAATGGATGTGAAAACGGCCTTTCTTAATGGTGACCTAGAGGAAGAAGTTTATATGAAGCAACCTGAAGGTTTCTCCTCTAGTAATGGTGAGCACTTGGTCTGTAAGCTTAATAAGTCCATATATCGATTAAAACAAGCTTCACGCCAATGGTATTTGAAATTCCATGACGTTATCACTTCATTTTGTTTTGAAGAGAACTTCATGGATTAATGTATATACCAGAAGGTCAGTGGGAGCAAGTTTTGCTTTCTTGTGCTATATGTGGATGATATTTTGCTTGTGGCAAATGATAAAAGTTTGCTATATGAGGTGAAATAGTTCCTCTCGAAGAACTTTGATATGAAAGATATGGGTGAGGCATCTTATGTCATTGGCATTAAGATCCAAAGGGAAAGGTCTCGAGGGATTTTGGGTTTGTCTCAAGAGACCTATATCAAAAAGGTTTTAGAGAGATTTCGGATGAAGGATTGTTCACCGAGTGTAGCACCTATTGTGAAGGGTGACAGATTCAGCCTAAATCAATGCCCTAAAAATGAGCTCGAACAGGAACAGATGAAAAACATTCCATATGCTTCAGCCGTTGGAAGCCTAATATATGCTCAGGTCTGTACCAGACCTGATATAGCATTTGTTGTTGGAATGCTAGGAAGATATCAGAGTAACTCAGGTATTGACCACTAGAGAGCTGCAAAGAAGGTGATGAGATACCTTCAAGGGACAAAGGATTACATGCTCATGTATAGACGGACCGACGATTTGGAAGTGGTTGGTTACTCTGATGCGGATTTTGCTGGCTGTGGTGATTCACGCAAATCAACATCAGCATACATTTTCATGCTTGTCGGTGGAGCCGTGTCTTGGAGGAGTGCAAAGCAGACTTTGACTGCTACTTCTACTATGGAGGCCGAGTTCGTATCATGTTTTGAGGCTACGTCACATGGTGTATGGTTGAAGAGTTTTGTGTCGGGGCTCAGAATTGTGGATTCAATTTCTAGGCCAATAAGACTGTATTGTGACAACTCAGCTGCTGTTTTTATGGCTAAGAATAACAAGAGTGGTAGTCGTAGTAAGCATATCGACATCAAATACTTAACCATTAGAGAACGTGTTAAGGAAAAGAAAGTGGTCATTGAGCACCTTAGAACTGTATAATTATCATTAACCACAACTAATAGCCTTAAAAATAATCTATTACAACAACAGAAGCAACAACTTCTATTTTTAAGGCTATTGGATGAAGTAAATGATCTGGAATAAAATGTATAAGACCCCCACGTCATGACAATAAATTAAGTAAAATATGAAGAAAGAGCAACATTAGCAAAAGCTATGCCCCAATTAAGAAAAATAAGAAGTAAGCTGTAGTACTCCAAGGTCTCAGTTTTGACACTCCTGTGGTGCACTCACAAGAATTTAATTCCTGGAGTACCCGAGGCTATGCTTTCAGGGTGCGCCTTAGCCACACCCCGAGGGTTTGATACCCATCGTCTGAATGATCATGGAGAAGTTCCCTAGTCAAACCAAAAAATATATATTTTAAAAAATTCAAAACATCAATCACACAGAAAGTTGAAAAGAGAAACATCAAAAAGGAGAAGTTGAGCAAAAAATCAACTTCATTTGTAGTGTGACATGCAACAATCAGTCTGCCTTAAAAAAAATCAACTTTACACAATCAGACTAGAAATTCAGTTCACAAATCTCAAAGAACTTTTGAAAATCTCAATCACAAAAAAACAACCCCGAGAAGAACAACAAAACCCGACCAAAATGGAGTTGCCCATGTCTCTTTTTCATCAGAATCAACAAATGGGTAAGTGACAATCACACAAAGACTAAGCACCCGTCATCTATTTTCATCAGAACAACATCAATCACACAAAAAGAATAAAACTTTATACAATCAGACTATAAATTTCAGTTTCAATATCTCAATAAAAAATTTAAAACATCAATCACAAATCAAAAACTAAGAAAAAAACAACAAAATCAGACCAAAATTGAGTTTGGCATATCTCTAAAACACACAAATAGCAAATCAACAAATGGGTAAGCGGTATTCTGACCCAATAACTAAGTACGCATCATTTATTTTCATCAGAACCCCATAAATCACACAAAAAATAAAAAAAAATAAAAAATTTACCTGCTTGCCCATTCTAAGAATCACATAAGGATCACTGCTTCTGACATCACGAACTGCAAGATTCACTCCTCTCAGGAGCCGAACTCTCAGAAGACCCAGTAAACGATCCATCATTCGCCTTAATTCTAGAGAGAGCTTTATGTATTATTATTTTTAATTTCTGGGTTTTATTTTGTGGTTGTATTTATAACAGAAGGAGATGAGTTATGCGCGTGAAATTGAAAGAGTTGGCGCTGATTGGCCCTACATGTACACTGCTGTAATTTGTTTGTTTTATTGTTTACTATGAGAAAAGAAATTTTTTATTTTTTATTTTTTATTTTTATTTATTTATTTTATTTATTTTGACGCTAATGCCGGCGATTTTTATTGCGATGAAGAAGGAACTATAGATTAAGTATTGGTCCCACTGATGTTTTCAGATTAGCCCCTGTCGAATTTTCTCTTGCATATTGGCCCAGTCTAGAGGCTAATTTCACGGGCGAAAAAAAGTTCGGATTGATCAGTCCGAATGAAATCACATGCGCCTCGTCTATGGTTTTAAGAAAATCAAGGATTATGTTATGAGAGTCGGCTCATTTGTTAGTCTGAGGAACTGAAGTGATTAATCCGTTAAATCTATTTTAATACTTGTCAAAAAAAAATTTCTGAAATAGTGAGAATTATAGCTGCTTTCTTTTTAAGATACTGGGAAATAGATTTGACCCCCTTAGTTTCAAACTTTGAAGTGCTAACTTATTGGAAGGGTTAGAATATAAAACATAATTATTGAAACGGTTTTTCTATAGAGTGCCCTTGGGCACTCTATAAGAGAGGAGAGAGATAGAGAGAAATGAATGCTCCTCATTCATTTCTCTCTATCTCTCTCCTCTCTTATAGAGTGCCCAAGGGCGCTATATAGAAAAAACGTTATTGAAATTGTAGTCTATCGACTATAGAGACGACTTTAAGATGAACCACGCCTCAAAAGATTGAAGTTTATTCTCTACAAACTTTCTATTTGATAAATTTAGATGGATTAGCTCAACTTACAACATTTGTAATTTTCTTTATGTTTGGAAGATCAGAATAATTAACTCCCTTGACCTCTCACTTAGCCTAGTGTGTCAAACATCAAGATAAAGGTTATAATTATACATTTCTTAACGTTAATTTTAAAGTTGGTGGGTATACTTATTTTTTATTGTTTGTACGTAAAGATTAAATATTCTATTAATTGGTAACTAATTGAGTATTGTGTTTGTACTGATTCAGTATTCTATTTACAGTTATTTAGTACTAATTTTATTTGTACAAAAATTTTAACTGTTTATAGTGATTTACTGCTATACTGTATAGCAAGCTTTTAACCCATGTCAAGCAAGTTCGTTTGGATACCATAGTGTTTTTCTTATTATGTTTTTGTAAAAAAACACCATGGTGTTGTGTTTTTCGCTTAAAGTGTTTTCGAAACACCATGTTGAGTGTTTTTGTTCAACATTAGTTTGACCTATTACAACATTAATATTAAACATAATATTAATATATTATACATTAATTATAATAAAATATATTATAAATAAAATATTATAATATTGACTTTACATTATAATATTATTATATGTATTAATATAATATAATATTGTATAATGTATTATAATATTTTGTTGTACTTTAATAAGTTGTATTATTTTATAATTAATATTATATTATAATTATTACATATTATTTTTAAATAATTATATATTAATTATTTTGGTATATCAATTTGTTATTGTTATATATTATATAATATTTTTAAAATAATATTATTTTATTATTAATATAATACTATACTATTATTAATAAAATATAATATTATTAATATGTTAATATTATTTTATTACTATTACATTATAAATAAATTCACATATTATATAATATATTATAGTTTTTAATATGTTAGAGTTTATTAATAATATTTTAATAATTTATGATATAAATTAATATTATTATATTATGAATATATTATTTTTACATTAACATTTGTTAGCAGTATATTATTTTAGTATTAAAAATTATTTTACTTTATAATATATTAAAATTTTTAGTGTATAATATATTAATATTTTTCTTTATATTATAATTATTACCTATTATGTTCAAATAATTATATATCTAATTATTTTGGTATATCAAAAAATAATTTCTGATATAAATCAATATTATTATATTATGAATATATTGTTTTTATATTATTATATAAGATATTTTGATTATTATATATTTATATTATGTAAATATTACTATTATATTAGATTAATTATAATATAATATAGTATAATATAATTAGTTTGTTGATAATAACTATATATTACTTATATTTAACATATTATGTTAGATATTATATTAACACATTCTCAAACTCAAAATCAAAACACCAAATATAAAACATCTAAAAGATGTTTCGAAATAAGTGTTGTGTTTTTAATTTGAGCATGATTTAGCTCAAAAAACATCATGGTTTTCAAACGTATGGTGTTTTGTTTTTGGCAAAAAACACTATGGTTTTCAAACGTATGGTGTTTTACAACGTTGTGGCACTCATAATATTACAATATAACGATTTGAGTACTTACTATTTTTTTTAACTTTGATTAAGATCTTACTGTAAATTATAATAGTATCATTCAAATATTATGATAAATGGAATCGTGGATTCGAAAACCAAACAGATTAGGTTCTGCTAGCTGTACACTAGCTTGTCGGACTGGTCCTTTGATCGTTTTCAGGTCGTTTCGATTGTTTCGGAATCGTGTTCAGGTTTGATTTAGGGTTCATTTTGATATTAGGTTAAAGAAATTAGGGTTAAATTTTAACATGATAATTATTATTCTTGAAAAATTAGCGGGCAAGCATTACTATTTTTGGTATGGCTTTCAACAAGAACAAAATTTAACCTCATATGGATCTCCTCAACTCAAAGTAATCAACAAAAATTTACAGAAACACCATCTAAATTCATAATATATAAATAATACTAAAATTTCAGGCCACAAATTTTTTAGAATTTGCTAAAAAATCCTTAAACTTTAAAAAATTATAAAAAACCTAACAATTTAAAAATTTCAAACTGAATCCAGTAAAAAAATTTAAGAATTATAAAAAACTCCCTAAAAATTAAAAATTTGTAAAATACACTTTAAATTTTACAAAAGTTACAAAAAACACCCTCAAAAATTAAGAACTTAGAGAAAAATTGAAAATTTCAAACCTGCATACAGTAAATTCATACTGTAGGATTACAAATAGCCCCTTAAAATTTTATAATTTGTAGAAGACACATTAAAATTTTTAAAAGTTACAAATAAACCTACTAAACTTAAAATTTGCAAAAAAACCATTAGAATTTCAAAACTACAACCAGTATATTAGAAACCTAAGAATTACAAGTAGCCCTAGAAATTTGACTTTTTGAAAAACACCTGAAAAGTTTTAAAAATTGCTGAAAACACCCTAAAAATTAAAATTACAAAAAAACATCTCTATAAATTTTTATCTTCTCAAGGTGTTTCTTGTAAATGTCAAAAAAAATTTAGGGTGCTTTTTTCAACTTCTTAAAGTTTTAGGGTGTTTTTTACAAATTCTAAAAATTTCAAGAGCCTGTTCGTACTCCTAGATTGTTCAATATACTATTTGTAGGTTAAAAATGTTTTGGGAGTATGTAGAAAATTTTGCATTTTTAGGGGCCTTTCGCAATTTTTACAAGTTTTAGGGTGTTTTTGAAAGCTTGCAGAGTGCTATTTGTAGTTCTTAGGTTTTCGATGTATAGTTTTTTGTTTGACGTTCTCTGCTCTTTTTGGAAATTTTAAGTTTTTGAGGGTGTTTCCTATAAGTTTTAAAGGTTAGCCATTTTATGTAAATCTCAAATTTTTTAGGGGTTGTTCACAATTTCAAGATTTTCAATGTACTATTGTATATTTGTAATATTCACACAGTTTGTTGTAAATTTTAAATTTTTAATGGTGTTTATTGCGACTTTAAATGTGTAGGGTGTTTTTTGCAAATTCTAAAATTTAGGGGGCTATTTTTGTTTCATAGATTTCCAGTATTCTGTTTTAGATTTGAAATTTTCATGCTTTTTCTTTAAGTTTTAATTTTTTGAGGGTATTTTTTTGACAAAATTTAAAAGTTTTAGTGTGTTTTCTGCAAATTAAAAGCTTTTCAGGGGCTGTTTGTAATTTGTAGATTTTTAGTTTATTGTTTTACATTTTAAATTTTTATTTTTTTGTAAACTTAGAATTTTTATGGTTTTTTGAGTTTTTAACGTTTTAAAGTTTTTCCTACAGATTTGAAAACTTTCTAGGATCTTTGTATCACCCTGATTTTTATTGTAATGTTTTACATTTGAAATTTTTATTTTGTTTTTTAATTTGAAATTTGAGGGTGTTTTTATAATTTTTAAAATTTTAGGATGTTTGCTATAAATTAAATTTTTTCTGAGGGCTACTTGTAAGGTTTGAATTTTTCAGTGTTATTTTTATATTTCAAATTTTAAGGTGCTTTTATAATTTTTGTAATTTTGAGGGGTTTTTTGTAGTTTAGGAATCGTCAGGAGCTTGTTTGTAATTTTTTATTTTACAAGGGGATATTTATAATTTTTAGGAGCTTTTTGGTAAGTTTTGAGTGGGACCACTTATAATTGTACATGGTTCAAGAACCAAGCCCAAATTATACTCCTTGTTTATCCTACCCATTCCATGGGTTAAAGTTCATCCTCATATATGATTAAACTTTTAGCTTTGGTAAAATTTTAATATGATAACAAACATGGTTAAAGTTAAGAGAAAGTTTACTAAGATAAAGTTCAACCCCTTTTATCAATCCTTTTACTAAACAAACTCTAATTGGTGTTGTACCATGTTTAGACTCTATAAATACATATATTCCTAAGGTCTAGGATTAAGAAATGCCAAGAAGAGTTGCATATCATAAAAAAAAATAGGTAGAGAGAAACTAAGTAGAGAGATCTAAGGATTTAAGAAAACTTTTGGTTAGAATGAGAGAGAATTTCTTGTGAGTTCTTTCAATAACACAAGAATAGACTCTCCGTGGATGTAGGTAATTGTCAAATCACGTAAACTCAATCATATATCATTGTTCTCTTGTTCTATTTTCTATTATAAATTATTCTTCTTTTTGTTTGAATATGTTTTCTCAATGT